AGAGGATGGACAAAATCATCATTGACTTTTATCAAAGTCAGTTGCTATCTGAGTGGAGTAATTTAATTTTTGGTTAAACTTTTTTTTACGTTAAAAAATTAATTTTTTACGAGCACAAATTAATTATTAAAAAAATTTTTACACTAAAAAAAAGAATTACTTTGCTAATGTGATAACCAGTGTATCTTCCCACAAAATCTTCAAAGTTGAAGAATGTTTCTTCAGTTCAAACTGGTTATTGATATAATAAAGAGTAAGGGTGATGCATGGATCCTCTGACCTAGAGGTCATCAGTGTTGACAAGTGTAAAAAATTTTTTTCAATTTTTCAAACTTTTGCACAGTATCGATAACGTGGTTATAAAAAAAAATTTTGTTTTATCTATCTGTATTTTTTTAAGCAAAACAGTAGTTCACAACTTAAACTTTTTTTGGAAATGCAAATGAAAATTTCTATCTGCTTTTTTTTCATCAGTTCTTTGGCTTTGTTTATTTTTTACGTAAAATTAAACTATATTTCCTTTAATAATTTTTATAGATAACGTTAAAAATCAAAGTAAAGAAATCAACTTACAAGTTTCTTTATTTTATCTATATGAAAAAAAAAACTTACAAAAAATAAATCAGTTAAAAACATCAGCTTTATCCCATAACCGCATCACACTAGATTTTGAACTACCGAATTTACGAACTTTAAGAATAATTAAATCGAAATTTTGGAATAATTAAATAAATATTAAATATTTTAGGAATAATTAAGTAATGATAACACATATTTGGGGGAGAATCACTTTAAAAAGATGTAACTTTCTACAATTTTACGCTTTTAAACTTGCTTCAAATTAAAAATGTAGCAACTATCATTTAAGTCGAGCGTTGGCTAGGCCTCTAATATAGTGAGCCATGAATTGAATAGAATTTCATCAATTTAAGCACTCATTTAAACTGTTTGTCTCTGTTGTTAGATCCTTTTTTTCGTGTTGCGATAGGTGAAAACGAGAATGCGATAGGTGAAAAATATACTTTGAATTTTTAACGAAATAAGTTTATTATTGCATAGTAACATAATTTTAAACGTTTCTAACATAATTTCTAAACGTTTCGTTTAGTAACCTAATTTTAAACGTTTCTTAAGATTTTACGGCTTCTATACTAGAGTTTCTATTTTTATATAAACTAACTTCGCATTACAAAATTAACGTGTATTTTAATAAAACTATTTACAAAAACAAATTGGGTAAAATAGGATTATTCTCTGTAAAAACGTCTGGATCTTGCTCCTCCTCACCCCACGGCCTTGTTGAGTACCAAAAAGGTGTAAATAATTTTAACACAAATGCAAAAACCTGCAACAAAAATGTAGTTACTTCCAAAGAAACTTTTATTACAAGAGGATTTAAATTTCTATTTATAAAAAAGTTAATTCAAGCACGTTTTTAACATATATATACAATTTCTTTTTTTGTTTAAGTTGAAGATAATGTTCAGGCAAATTGTATTTGGAAATCGATGGTACACAGACTTGAGGGTTCTCAAAAATAATTTGATCAATACATTTTGAAAGTTTAAACTGTTGAATCAGATCACCTCGAATGTTTTTTAGTTGTTTTTTTTAACTACGGTACTTTTAGAAAATTTTGTATATAAGAATTACTTTCTCATCGATTTTTTATAAAACTGATCCCCACTCCTGAACAGGCATTACAGTTAGAATTTTGGACAAAAGCTTAGTGTTATAAAAACACAAACTTAAAAAAAAGTTCACGCTGTTTCTTTTAAGAACCTACGACTTCCTTTTAAAGCTAAGACTTTAGGTTGTCAAGTTAAGAATTAAGTTTAATGTAGTGTGCACAGCATCATAAATTCACATATTGAGCGAAATTGATCATTTTTGTTTGTTTAGTTAATTAAAATGTCGCCATTCCGAATCTGCAGGTAATAAATAGTTCTGAAGCGTAGTTTTATTTATAAAGGGCACAGAAGGGAACCCATAAAATTTTTTTTTTCCTGAAAAATCATCACTTATTAAAATTTTTTTGTTTTTATTTTGTTTTCTATTTGTTCTTTAGGATTTGCGTTAAAAAAAAAAAAACTTGATAAAGTTTGCCTGGTGGCAAGGACTGCTAGGAATTTCTAAAAATATCTAAAATAGGTTTAAAATGAGGATAATAGTACCAGTAAAAAAGATATAGAACAATTTTTTAATAAAATATTTAGTTTTTATTTTAAGATCGAAAAACTGTAAATTATTATTCCTATTTTAAAATTCGCTTTTAAAACTGTTCGAAGATTTTTTTTTTTTAAATATTACTAATGATGTTTTACAGTTTTTTGGCCATAAAATAAAAACTATGATATTTTATTAAAGAATTGCTTCATATCATTTTTACTGGAAACATTATCCTCGTTTTAAACATATTTTAAATATTTTTGGATATTACTAGCGGTCCCTAATAGCAACGAGGCAAACTTTATCAAATAATTACTTTTTCTTCTATTTCTTCCAAAAATGTATAAAAATTTAAAAAATATTTTTGGTGGGGTAATTTTTATTACTATTATTATTATTAATTCAATTTTACAGGTTTTTAGTCATAAAATAAGAAATAAATTTTGTTATGTAAAAACCGCTTCATAACATTTTTGCTAGTACTATTGAAGTCATTTTAAACTTATTTTTGGAATTTTTCATAAATATCCAGCGGTCCCGGATAGACAAAAGGTGACACTGCCTCAAAATTGCTTTTCTTTATAGTTATTCAAAAAACGCATTGTTTTTTTTTGTTTTGTTTTGTTTTTCTTTGAACCCAACTCCTAAAGAACAAATAAAAGACAAAAAAATTTAATAAGTGATACCGTTAAACGAGGTTACTTTGAACGTTTTTGAGATATTTTTACTTGCTCTTCCTTCACTATTGACAATATTTGAATTCTAACAAAGTGAATATAGGGGCTAAGATTGACTCTTACATAATTAAAATCAAAATAATATTTAAATAAAAATATTTTGTATAATATTAATTTAAATAGTCATTCAAAGTTACCCCGCAAATGGGGTAACTTTGAATGCGTTTTTTGTAAAAGCAAAACCTATTCAAAAACGCCTTGTTTTGTTTTAAAATTTAATAAAAACAACATTCTAGTTTCACAGTAATTTATTATTGCTAAAATAATATAACATTTTTTCATAACAAACACCCATTTTTTCATAACAAACACCCATTTAGTGTTTTATTTTGTTTGTATGGGTATTTTTTAAGTGGACCAGCATAAAAAAAGTCTCATTTACATCAGTTTCACTTCTAGACTTTGCAAGTGGAACATCTTTACATTTTTCCAAAAAATCCTCAAAAGAAATATTTTTAACAAGATCAAAAGTAATTTTTTTTTTTCCCTTTGAGTCTGCTTTTTCCTTTACATCAACATGAAAAAATTGTTAAAGTACATTAATTACTGCTCGGCAAACTAAAGTTATAACTATCTGGCCAACGATTGAAGAAGATACTTATATCTAATGGGTAACTCTTATATTTTTTTCAAAACCACTAAGCAACTAAGTTGTTGATTACCTTTTGATTTAACAAATATAATGATTATAAGTAAATAAAGAACAAAGAAGATTTTTTTTTTGTAATAGTCTGTGCATTTTTTAAACAAAAGGTTTCCAATTGATCAAGTATTTTCTTACAATATTTTTTAAGAGATCAATAAAATGCAACATTAAGAGATTGCAATAAATGGGTAGAGTTACTAGTTATAGAACAAGATACTGTTTCTTTCTCAACAAGAAATTTTCTTTTGTAAATTCAAGTTTTTCACTGTAAAAATTACTTTGATTTAACTAATAGGAATGCTCCAACAATTTGACAAAGAACAATAACAAACCAGTCAAAAAAGTGAATAGAATCGAACCGTCCTGGCTTTGATTGCATTTTTGATTGTATATACATTAGGTGGTCAACTTCGGTTCTTGTTGTGCATAAATGGTCAGCTTTATAAACATAACTACAGGCAACTTGATCAGAAACACTCACACACACATATATATATATATATATATAAACAATGTATACACACATATATACACATACACACAAAGACACACACACATACACACGAAGACACACACACATATACACACATACACACAAACTACGTGTGTATGTGTGACGTACTGTTTATACACATGATATTTTAATTTTTAATCACAATAATATTATGTACGATACTTAATATATTATATACAATACATGTATGACAAAGTAAATTTTAAATTGTTTCATGTTTCTGACTATTCATGTAGTGGAGTTACTTTATTGAACGTTATTCAAAACCCGTATGCGAAAAAATGTATACAACAAAGTATGTTACGCTACAGCAATTGAATATAATTATAGTAGGCAAACAAAGTTCTTTAGATTTTACATGCTTAATAAATTTATAAACAAAAATTATGCAACTTAGACAACAAGCTGCTACGCTAGCTGAGGCAGTGTACGAAGTATTCTGACTAATTTTTTTGAGAAAAATATCCGAATTATTTAATTCATTTTTTTGGGGGAACAATAACAACCAATAAACAAAGTAAAACTTTAAATAATCAAAATATAAACTATTTTTCAAACTTTAATGTTTGAGATTTAAACAATTTCATATAAATTCTTGCCATAATTATAACTTGAAAAAAAAAATAGATTTGTATTCAAAGTTACCCCGCTATTCAAAGTAAACCCCGGTTACCCCGCTATCCAAAGTTACCCCGCTATTCAAAGTAACCCCGGTTTACGGTATGTTTTTTCTGAAAAAAAAAGATTTTTAACGGGTTCACTTTTTGACCCTTTATAAATCAAACCCCGCGTCGGAATTTTTTATTACCACAGATTCGGAACGGCAACATTTTAATCAACTAGTAAAACAAAAAATTATCAATTTTGCTTAATATGTGAATTTATGATGCTGTGCACTCTTCTTTTTTAAATTATAGGTTTATATTTGCACAAAATGTTCTTGTCAATCAGACTGTTTGTTTATTTATTTTATGCATCATGTTTAGAAATTGAAAAGGTAGACTTGATTTTCGTTTATTGTATATTTAAATAATACATTTTTTTGCTATTACGATGTAAGGTTATTAAAATAATTTATTTTTTATAGGATGATAAGAGCCGATTTCATACTTTCCTTTATGCAGAAGACATTCACTCTTCAAGAATTAGAAAAGATATTGAAAGGCAGAAACTACCTGTCAGCAAAGATCAGATAAAAGAAATGCTTGCTGAATATGCACATATTATGTATCAGAAATCTGAAAAAGGTAGTTGCTAACTTCTTTTTCATTTCTACTTATTTTAAATTAGTTATTTGAAACAAAAATTGTTTTAAACCATACGAACTCTCACTCAATAACACAAACTAAACATTTGAATCAAAAAATAAGGAAATAGATCTTAATATTGTCAGCTCTCAGATAAAAACACACACAAAAAATTGTAAATACAAAAGATAAGTTTACTTGAATACGGAATATCTTTTTGAACTGTTGAATACCCTTTAACAATTTATATTCTATGTTAAACAAAATGACGTTTTTTTCATAATACCAGTAATACTTAAACTCCTTTTTTTCAATACAGTTAATTAAAAAAAAGTAAAAATAATTAAAAAAAAACTTTTGATATATTGTCAAATTGTTTTATTATATTGAGAAAAAATGTTTTTTTATATTCTATGTTCTGTTAAATACTCCATGTTTTGTTAAAACCATGCATGTTATTAACAAAACATAGAGTATTTACGGAATTATGATCAAAACTATTTTTTTTTTCTTAAAAACAAGCTCCTGAACGGATCATCTTGAATAAAAGGTTTTAGGTTAATAAATTTGCTCAATATCCCCTGAATTATAAAAATTTGCAAGAAACAACAGTGCTCTAAACCACTGAGCTATCGAAGTTTATATATATATATATATATATATATATATATATATATATATATATATATATATATATATATATATATATATATATATATATATATATATATATATATATATATATATATATATATATATATATATATATATATATATATATACAAGATGAATATGCGATTATGAACGACATAACAATTTAAAAAATAAAAAAGTTAAAAAAAAAGATAAAAGTTGGAGTAGAAAGACTTGGTAGAAGTAATGCTTCTCTACTTGACGTAGAAGGTGTAATGATATTCATTTTAAGACGATTTGGCGGAGAAAAATAATTTTATAGTTAATAAACTTTCAATCTGTGCACCAGAGAATTGAAGAACGCAGAAATGCCAATTTAATTGGACTACTAAAATTTTTAAACTACCCAATTAGTTCTAATCAGGAATCAAACATCAACTCCAAACTACTCTTACCGTCCATAAAAATTGAATGCGACTATTTGTAATGTCAAACAAGTAGAAAAAGCAGCTCTAGAAAACATTAGCAGTTTAAAAAACCTCAAAAAAAAAATCAAATTTTTTGTGGCAACTGGAAAGCGTAGCGAAAGTTTAGAAAGAATATACTCAACATTAATGACCATCAAGCCCACATCAATTGAATCAGAAAGAGCTTTTTCTGCCGCGGGTCTATTTATAGGAAAAATCTATTTTACTATTTAAAATAAAATATTTAAAACAATATTTTATTTTAAATAGTAATATAGATTAGCGTGTTAAGATAAATTTGTGTCAGAAACTAATTGTTATTATGTTAAAAACTATGCCGGTAATCCCGGGATGCTAAATTTACGGGAAATGAGAAACCCTAGCATTGACGTTAAAAGTCAATAAAACTACATAAGCAAACTGTTTCAAAGTGTACCCTACTTTTAACCAAAGAGAGTATAAAAAAAAACGTTTGAAAAATAACTTGAAATAGCGCAACTTTGTTTAGATAATCATGGGCATTATTTTGAACATTTAAATAAATAAAATTTAAAAACTCTTTTATTTTTACTTTAGTAGAAAGTTCTACAAACCTTTTCAACAAACTAAGTAAATAAATTTTGTCTTATGTCTCTGCCGTTTTGGCAATCGTAAATAAAATCACAGATTTTTCTGTTGTTAAAATTGACTCTTAAATAATCTAAAGTCGATAGGATGCATTTTCTTTTCAATATTACATTTTTGTTAGGAATATAATTAATGCTTTCAATATATTCTATATACTCTATATTTTTTATAGTCATTTTTACAAAAACCATCTGGTAAATGATTCCTACATTGTGTCTTTTAAAAAAATTCTCCATCGTTCTTCCCTACCCAGCAAAAATTGTTTTAGTGGATTTGCAGAGGACATATATAGACATTTTTTTGCGTTTTGTTGAAGTTTTACTTGTCGGTTACTTAGTGGACCATTTGCAGCAGCCGCTATCAATGGCAAGCCGATAATTTTACCACATTTTAATAGTGGTTATTCATCGGCTAGCTATATTTAGTGGCTGCGACAAATGGTCTACTAAATAACCGATTAGCAAACTACAGCAGCCTGTTTAAAATGTCTATAAAGGTCCACTGAAATTCCGCTATAGAATGTTTGCTGGGTAGTTAACGGCTTTGTGCAATATTAGTTTTTAGACTTGATTTTCATGATCAACTTTTTTTCATTTAAAACTAGCAGGCTAACGTAATTTCAAACTATTTGAACTACTACAACGCTTATTTAACCCGACGATTTACCATTATAAACAAATTTAAAATCATTTACTGTTACTCCAACAAAAAATGATTGTAAACAGTAAGATTTTATTTTAATTTAAAGACTATTACAGCATGTTTTATCTATTTTATATTTAAATTTTACTTTAACTTTTTTATTATTATTATTATTTTTACAGCTTTAGTTATTTTGCATGATTTATTTGAAATAAAAGACGAAAGAGATGAAGAGTCAATGAAGAAAGTTTTTGATATCATAGATGAACACGTGACTGACGTTGCTGAAAAGAATTTACTGTTAAAAAAAATTGAAAAAGAAACACCTCTTGATTTGAAACAGAAAAAAATTGAAATACGCAAGTAAATACGTTTTGTTTAAAATACAGGTATATACTTTGGTCATTTGTATTTTGGTCATTTGTACAAAATTATTCTATTTAGAAAAGTTGTCCAGGAAATTGCTAAAAAAATGTATCCGAATAATTCACAAAATGAAATACTTGTAGTGAAAACATTAACTAATTTGACACCTGAACAATTATATAATACGGCTCGGCATTGGGGAGTGATAACTGCCTGTAAAACAACCAATAATGGTAAGATATTTGCAGTTTGTATACCAGTAACATTAACTTGTGTAATGTTTGTATAATAACAAAATTTAAACAGAAAGTTTTTATTCCAAGAAAATTATATGTCGTTGTTTTTTTTAGACAGTTTTACTCAACAACGAAGCAGAAGAAGTATAGGTTACGAAACTTCTTACAACACTTTGACAGTTTCCGAAAAAAAAAGTTTAGAATGTCAAAACACAAATTGTTATACGATGGCTAATACATGAGAACATCTGAATAATATATAAATAAATAAAGATAACAATTTCTTCGGAAAAAAGTATTTATTCAAAATAAAATACATTTTAATCAAGCTTTTAAACTTTTAGACTAGTTAAGATAAGGGATAAAATTTACTTTTTTGCGTTAAAATAAGGCTTAAGGTTAACTTTTAAACAAGTTAAGATAAGTTAAGATAAATGGAACTATAAGATTGTTCTTTGATTATGTCACAGTTATAGATGAGATGGTTTAATTGTATTTATAACGGCACAAAATATATCTTAGTATCTCTGATAGTCGGGTAAAAATTACTAAAATTTCTATAGTTAAATTAGCATGTCTCTTGAGCAAAAAAAAAATAATTATTCCTTATCAAGAATAAAATAGCTACGTAAAATTATAAAGCTGGCACAATTGCAGATATATTATGGGTATATTTACTAAGAGAGCTTGTAAATTTTTACACTGATGGTGGATGATGATGTTGCTTTTTAAATTGGAATGGAATTATAATAATTAAAAGTTTTTTGGCTTTATTACTTGTTAAATATTATATTAAATATCCTGAAAATATAGAAAATAATTGTTAAGTGTTACTCGCCAGACAATATATTCAACAGTCCAAACAGTTTCTTGCAAAAGACACTTTCTTTCTTTGAATATGCAAAAATTAAGAACTTTAATTATAAAAGAACTTGTGATCTTAAACTTAATTTAAAACATGTTAAATCAATTGTAAGATCACGACTCTTTTATAAACAAAGTTGTTAATTTTTGCATATCCAAAGGTAGAAAGTGTCTTTTACACTAAAATGCCGGATGCAGCTTACTTTAAAGGATGTTGGCTATTTTCTACCCCAAATAATAGTGGAGTAATGGATACCTAATAGGAAAAGTTTTTACAATAAGTTAAAAACTCTTTTATCAAGCATCTTATTAAAGCAAGAATAGTGTATAAAATTTGACGAGAAAATAAAGTCTCATTTCAATAAATATGTTTCTGAGCATTTGTACTCAAATGTTTAGAAACGTGTCTATTGAAATAAGACCTTTTACAGAAAGATTCTTAAGCTTTTGTTTAACATTACTTTAAAGTTGGAAAGAAATAGTAATTTGTTTAATACTATATTGTATATTATAATATGTATAAATGAGATACAGAAAAATCTTTGCAAGACTTTGCAACAACAACAAAAAAATTGAATTTAGGAAAAAACTACGGGATAAAAGAAAAAAGGTGCGTCAGAAAATTTTCAATTGAACTTGCATAGTTGAGCAATGTGGATGTTACATAAAGTGATTTCAGATTGAGTTCAAATAAAGGTTTTTGTACATCACGACTGCAACCTTTAATATATGCTCCGTTATTATAATCTTTTTCTCTTCAATTTTGCAAATTTAAATTCAGATCTTCAAGCTTATGTAAGAATGCTTCTGCGAGACCTGAACCAGTGCTGTCAGTGACAGGTAAGAATCCCAAAATATATTCATTGATTTTTATTGGTCTACTCCCAATGATGCATATTCGCAAAATCATAGTCATTTGCTCTTGTTGACCAGCATCAGGTGTGTTGTCCAAAATAGTAGAATATTAAATATTAGAAGATTAAAATTTCAAATTTTGAATATTATTAAAAAGACTTTAAAGCAGCATCACCGAACAGAATAATTAGCTCATTTCTAATTGTTTTACTCAGTAATGATTATGAATTTCCTTGTTTGTTTGTTTTTTTGCGCGGTAAATAACCTTCTATGCATGAATCATACTTTGCGAACAATTTGACCAATTCAATAGAAGTTAATGTGAAAATTGATGAAAAACAAATTTCTTTTTGTAATAAAACTTTTGCTTAATTTAAAATTCTAGCTATGTTCATAGAATTCTATTACTAATCGAAGAACTTTAATAACTATAAAACTCTACAATTGCAATGAAAAGTAACTTTTTAAATCATTTGTCCACTTTTGGAAAAGTATACGTAGCAAATAGCTTACTGAGAAGATTCAATAGATGAAATTTCAAGACTATGTAGATTAAACTCATAGATCAAATTTCAATTCGATGAAGATAGATATTTAGAAGAGCAAGTTGCTGATTTGAAAGATTTTAAGAAATTGAGATTGTTAGAGTAAAGTTCACTTATCATATTATCTCGTCAAAATGAGTTAGTCATATCTCCAAAGCTGGTAGAAAAGCATAATGTGAAACTGTTTTTTTTTTTTTTTTTTTTTTTTTTTTTCATTAAAAAGATTTTTTAAGAATACTTTCATCAAATAGTTTTATATTTTCATTTTGTAAATCAAGTTACATAAAATTGAAAACTGATAATGAAAAGGAAGATTATGAAATTAATCAACTAATACTATTTTAGAGCTTATTGTTACTGATAGTAACTATATTTACTAACAAAAATAACAGATTTTGCGAAAAGTTTTTAAGCAATCACCCAAAAAAAGCCAATAATTTCTGCCTATGGAATTAAAATGCTATTGCAGTGATTAAAATAAAAGCTTGTTTTTTGTAGTTGCAATAATGGATTTTTTTCAAAATAGGCCACTCAATACCAATATAAAGTTATTCACAAGTTTCTTCATCTGTGAAACAATTATGACCCCAATCATGATTGAAATGATCTGAATTGAGATCAATAATTATACATACAACATGCATATAGTGTTTATCGAATTAATCAGTAATCAGCAATTACATTTAATTCAAGCCTTTTGGAATTCATATAAGAAGTAATCTTCTTTGTCTAAATCTTCAGTCTCATAAAATTTACAAAAGATTCATACTAAGATTTTTTGCTATGTTAGGCTGATAGTGCCGGGAATAAGCAATCCAATGTTGCTGTTATAGACTTTGCTGCAAAGTTACCACTAAGCAAGACACGCCACACAAAAAAATAAGACATGCCACACACCCTTGTAGAAGTAGGTTCAATCCAAAAAAAATGTCCCAGATTCATGTGATCTGTACTGACCTCTACTTTCAGAAAATAACACCTTTGAAATAAAATTTCGAGGTCCAAGAAAAAAAAAGACATTTTTGTAAACCGAAAAAGCCAGTATTTTTCCTTGTATATCCATTAAGTATTTTATTTGGTCATGAATTGTTCAATGACTATTACATATTTTAAAAGCTTTAAAATGTTCACAATAGACAGGGAAACGTTTAAATATAGGTCTTTATGTGTCAAAATTTATTAAGAACAAATATATGATGTTTTGTAATCTTGTTTATAGGAAAGAGAATTAATGTTGGTTTTTCTTCAACATTTATTTTTATATATGTATTAAACTAATACAATACAAGTTTTCTGGTAACATTATTCCAATTATTCCAATTAACGTTATTCCAATTGTGCAAAACTATTCTCTGAGGGAATAGTTTAGCAATCGCTATAGAAAGTTTTTTATATAGGTCTCCAAAGGAAATTGCTAGTGTTGCAATCGTTAATCATTATTCTAAACGAGTGTTAGAAATAATTGCCCAGAGGGAATTAATTTCTTAACAATCTTTACAATAAATTTAAAGAAATCTATCGAAATCAATAAAAGGAAATCTATGCAAATCAAAGTTAACCATTAAACTCGATATTTCCTTTAATATATTCGACAAAGTCTACATTTTTTTACCACCAGTACTTCAATGATGCCTAATCAGGCGTTAAACCACGAAGATTGCCAAAAAAAAGTTCAAAAAAGACTTCAAAATCATTTTATTCTAAATTTAGACTTGGTTAAGGAACATTATCCTTCTGGTATCTTTTCGCGCCACATAAAGTTCTGGAACTCATTGAAAAAGGTATAAAGCGCTTCTAGCACCATATGATTTTTCTGGAATAAGAACTTCCATTATTACAAGAAATCAGACTACATGTGAGTGTGCAGTTTGTGTTGTTGCAAGGAAAACTATCTATCCAGGAATCCAGGATCAGGAAAAAAATTAAAAAAAAGGAAGATGAGTATCCACTGAATCAGTTCTGCCATCTCCCCTACCCATATCTGTATGCCAAAGATGTCTATGTACATTAGAAAGCGGTTTACCTCACTCTTGCAATATTTCAATTCGTAGGGATAATCTTGAGGCGGCTCTGTCTAGAGTTATGTCAGTATGTATATATATAATAACTATTTAACCTAAAACCACTTGTACAATAATAATTTACGTTAAAACCAATAAAATATAGTATTATGTAGGTTCATACAATTTTTGATGTTAAAGGTGTAATATATTAAGATATTAAATATATTAATATATTTCAGATGAGATTATTGTATTAAATATATTAATATATTTCAGATGAGAGAGGTACAGAGCTTTTTTTTACTAAAATCCTAAAGCGAAAACTATCTGAAGTGAATGCAGGTGATTCAATAAAGGTTGCTAACAAAAGGTCTAAAATTTTTAATATCAAAATTCCAAAGAAAACAGAGTTGAAAGCCCTTTTTTCTGAAAACTAGGTGCCAGCTAGTGAAGACACAAGATTCAAAAATGTACTAGGGTTAAGTAATTCTTAAACAGAAACTGTTTGTAGTGCTCTTAGGAACTGGATAGGAAAAGATTTTTTGATGCAAATCTAACAGAAAAACTTGTATTTCAAGACTGTGTTTTAGATCATTTTTTTAATGTTGCAGAACTTCAAATCAATAAGCAAACAAAATATTTAGTCTTCTGTACAAATATGCCTGAGCTAATAAATCAATTAGTGGAAAAAAGAGATATATCACCAGGTTTTATTGTAAAAATTGGAATAGATGGGGGAGGAGGATTTCTAAAGGTTTGTTTAAATATTATTGATTGTAAAGTGAATGAACCTAAAACCAAGTTCTTATACAGAGAAGGAATAATGCAGGAAAAGTTCAAGGACGGAGGAGTTAAGAAGCTTATTATTCTGGCCATTGTTGAAGATCTTAAAGAGAATTACCAAAACATTAAGCAAATCATAGAAATATTGTGAAATGCGACTAAGAAGTATTTTTTAGCATTTGACTTAAAGAT